TCGTATCTATCATCCCGGTTGGGAACCGCATGTGATTTCTTTGTTAGGCCTCCCAGAGAGAGTCCAGACCTTTTGGTTTTGCCTCCAAGGGACGCCGTTTTGTGAGTTAAGCCGCCAAGTGACGGTGTTTTGCCACCTCCGCGACATTCTTGCCGTCCTCCTTGGGGCTTGGCGATCAAGGCCTTTGTACGCAAAGTGAGAGCAATTTCTGGCGGTACCTGGAGGGATTCATAGTGCCATTGGGCACGCGAATACCAAATCCAAAGGTCTTTTTGTGAACCCTCTTGGTTGAATCCATAGATCTGACCAGTTTCATGTATGATATAGATTGGCCGGTCCAACGTGCTGGCCAAAGCAGCAATTTCTAAGTTACCCGCCCATGCTCCGACTTTTTCGACAAGACCAAGGTATTTCTGAAAAGCCGAAGCACGATCCGAAACCTCCATGTCAACCCCAGTGGGGTCTTTGTTATCCCAAAAACAAGCGTACTTGTCACTGTGTCGTTTAAGGTGCGAAACAGCGGCGGCTCTGACTTGTCTGTGATGGTGCTTTTGGTTGTCAGTGAACTCAATGCTATGACTGATGCTGTGGAAGAGACAGTCACCTCCCCCTTCATTTGGCACCTTAGTAACCCCGTCAGGGAGGGGTTGTGCCTTAGCTCGTTTTTTTGCCGGGCTCTCCCGAACCCCGCCACTTTCATTCCTCTTGGTACGATCACTAAGATCCATGGTCGATTCATCCTCAACTTGACCCTGCGTAGGGGTACCTGGCTCAGATAAATTAGGGATAACCTCCGGAGCGGCAAACCCAGCAGTCACAGGTCCTGAGCGGAGGGAGATGCGTTTTTCATCTCGGAGCTTGGTTCTTTGAGTGATTTTCCAAGCAGCCGGCTGAAGGCGCTCCGCAACCAAAAACTTGCCGTTGTCAGCATCAAACTGATCTCCGCTGTAAAGCGAACGTTTTGGATCAACTTACCACTGGCAGCCAACAAGTGGGTCAACTGATCCTTTTGTTTAACTCGAACTAAACCTTTAATGACGGAATCTTGTCCGCCAGCGCCAGGGACCAGCTCCCAGCCCCAAGTGTCCTGCAGAAACTGGCCACACACAGGCGCAGCTTCCTTCATCCAAGCCCGAGCCAAGGCTCCGGGATTTTGACGAGCCTTGTTCCAGTGTGATGGTTCGGTGAACCGTTTATCCAAAGATAGTCTGATAACCAAAGTATCCTTTTTTGATGATTCCCGTGTGGTGACTGGTGGGCGTTTGTCCATAGGCACCACAACACGGACCTTGGTAGAGCAAACTTGTTCATGATTACTCCAACATTGAACTTTTCTAGTAGAAACTTTACGAGCCTTATCCAGTAAAGGCAGTTTGGTTTCCCTGTTTTGAAGGACGGAATCCCGGTCATGTTCAAGTGGAGAACCGAACCCTAAAACGTATATGACAGAGGCTTTAATGGCGGGATCCCCAGCAACCAAAGTAGCCACTTCATCCAATTGTTTTTGGGAGCCAACCAAAAGCACAAAGGGTTTCTGTTTACCCACAGTGTCAATCAAAGACCCAAAAGCATTAACATGAGGAATGACGGTGAAATCAGTCCAATCATCGGGACGGAGTCGAAACACTGGTCCGGACGCAGAGCCCGCCAATTTCGTGCCTCTGACAATGTGGACCCAAGTGGAATCCTCAGTAGTGAAGGCAGCTGGTCCCTTTCCTACATGAGCGGCCTGTGTAGCGACCTGAGCCTTAGCAGCATTTTTCCCTCTGGGGGCAGGCGCTTTGCCTCTACCTTTAGCACCGCTAGTTTTTGCACCCGGCTTCTTGGGGCGACGTTTGTCTGGTTCCAAATTTTTACCTTCAGAGGCAGCCGAAACCAAGGCCTTCAGCCGATCCAAAAGGGTATCCGGTTGTTTGTGGGCACGGTTGACAAGGCGAGTGAGCGCTCCAAGCAACCCCACTGATTCTTTGCTTTGGGCTTGGGGGGAACCTTTTCCAGCAGTGTTCTTACCACCTTTATGTGGACCCCCTGAGCCCTTCGTTCCCTTCTTGCCACTTTGTGGAGCCCGATCATCAAACTGGGCCAAAAGTGCAGCCAACCCTTCCAGCAAGGCATGGTCACGTTCATGCTCCTGTCGTTTGCGGGCGGTGGCAGCAGAAGCCCCCGCACCACCTCGACAATTATCCCAATTCACCCCAAGCAAGTCCTCAGTAGGATCAGCGAAAAAGGAACACGGCGCATTGAGCACAGTGTTAAGAGGCAAATGCCTGGTTGATTCACCGACCTTACGCATGGAAAGTAAACGAAGTCTTTCATGCAACCGGTGTACCCAACCTTTCCGAGCAACTTTCAAACGTTGCTTTCTGCAAAACCGAGCTTTAAACATATGCTTCGGAGGAGGATCTTTGTCCCTAAACCAATTAAACCAATGGGCCAGAAACCCCGAACACTTCCGAAGAAGTGACAAGGGAGACCCCAAAATGTTGAGAAAATGCAACAATTGAATGAGAAGCAGGCTTTTAACCGGGTTCCATTCACACACGGTCACACCTTCCCAAGACAAGCACCAGATGTCAGGCAGAAGTTCCACAGCGCCGAAGGCAGGTTCCGGTGTGTCTTCGCACACCGCCACTGCAAGCAGAGAAGCGGAAACATTTGCAAAACGAGGCTGCTCTACCAAGGGCGCCATGGTTAGTACGCACCCCGGTTCCGAGGGGGGCCCTGCCGGGCCAGTCTGAAGTGCCGGCCAAGGCACTTCAGGAACAGGAGTTCCACAGGACCGTGGAAAACAAAGAAACAAAACCAACCAACAACACAACCTCCATCCCCCCAACGAAAAGGTGGACCTTCTGGTCTCTTGAATTTCGTTTCTGCACAAGGGCTCATCGGCCTTCTTGTGTCCTTTTTTTATATTTTTTGTGTCCGAATTATTTTTTGTTTTTTTTCATTTTTGTATATCATTTTTTTTTCTCATTTTTTTTTTCTTTTTGTTTTCTGCTCACTGGACTTTCCGTACCGACAACCCACAGCCATGGAAGTCGGCCCGCTGCAGCCGACGTCTCTTGCGTAGACGAGGAGGCATCCCAGATAGTGCAGCTCACCCCCTTTGGGGCTCCTGGCTGAAACTAGGCGGCTGGAGCCGGTTTTTTTAGCCAGATTTCAGCTAAATTTAGCCTCAAGAATGTTAGGCCCCAGTTTTTTAGCTTTTGGTCCCTTTTTACGAATTCTAGAATTTTGTTTTTAAATAAATCATGAAGCCGCGGGAGCACATCTTGAGAGCATTTTTGCAATAGGTTGCCGCGGGTACTTTAAGCCATGGACTTGGGAGGTTGGATGAGGATGGGTTTGCAAAATTGAGTCATTAGTCGTTCGTGGTGTATCTTGGGACGTTGGTACAGGATGGGTTGGCTCACATGCGTGGTGTAACATGGCGAGCTGTTCCGGCAAAGTTCAAAACAGGGATGTTTGAGATGAACATCTTAGGGTCTTAGGTTTTGTGGTGTATCTTTGGAACGTTGGTTCAGGGTTGGCACACATGCATGGTGTAATATGGAAAGCTGCTCCGGCAAAATTCAAAAGAGGGATCTGTGAGATGAAAATCTTGGGGTCTGAGGTTTTGTGGTGTATCTTTGGAACGTTGGTTCAGGATGGGTTGGAACACATGCGTGGTGTAATCTGTTCCGGGTTGTTCCGGCAAAATTCAAAACAGGGATGTGTGAGATGAACATTTTCGGATCTGAAGTTTGTAGTGTGTCTTGGGACGTTGGTTCAGGATGGGTTGGCTCACATGCATGGTGTAACATGGAGAGCTGGTCCGGCAAAGTTCAAAAGAGGGATGTGTGAGATGAAAGTCTAAGGCCTAAGGAACAAATGCGTGGTGTAACATGGAGAGCTGTTACCTCATTTTTTTTGATATGGCAACGTTGAAAGCTTTGGCATTTGCGATGCCAATAAGGCATTGATACGATGTGGGAGCGGAAGCTGTTTGGGATGAAAAGGATGTGATTGACCGTTCTCTGGGGAAGTTCTGATTTTTTAGTTTTTTTTGAACACATGCTGAGCACTGCTGTTTTCATCTCTTGTGCCATTTTTTTGATTTTCAACATACCCCAGAGACACTGGGTTTAATCTTTTGTACCTTGATTTTTCATTTTCAGAAATAGGGGTCAGGTCAGCTTTTCATCGTTTCATTTTTGTTTTGCTCATACCTTAGCCCTCCAGGTTTTTAAATTTGGTTTTTGGGATGAAAACCTGGTGCTGCACCTTAAGTTGAACGCCCAACGAGGATTGAATGATGCTTGTTTTTTTTTTTGGGTGTACCATGTCCTTCTTCTTCCTAAACATGGCACGTATTTGAGCAGATCTGGCAAACGTTGACAGCTCCAGCTGGCGGGCATCGGCAAGTCCGCTGCGTAGATCATCACTGCGATTTATGTCACGAACATGTTTGAAGTGGATACAACTTGATACAACCATGTTCTTGGATGTATTTGGACAACAATGATTCAATAATGTCAATGATTGCAATGAGTCGTCCAGTTTTGGGTTGGTTAAATCACCATTCGATGAGTTCAGACTCCATCAAACCCCCGCGCTGTCCGCTTGACTGGACATGGCATGGACGATGCCCAGGATCCCCGCGTCGGGGGCTGGGGGGATCCACCGGGGACTGTCAAATTTGTTGGAAAATATTTGCGAATGGGGAACTTGTGATGCAGGACGCAGGAGTCATGTTGCTTCAGATATTACAAGTGTAATTGTACATATTATTTATATAAAATATTTATTGAATTAAATATTATATATATATATCTCGCCTTGGATTACCCAGTTAGTGTGTCATGACTAGGTTTTCTTTGGGCAAAAAACAAGTTTCAAACCCGCTGATGGAGGAGGTTTGCTTGTCAGAACGACTCAGGACCCAACTCTTGCCAACTTCACTTGACTTAGTTTTTATGTATCCCCTTGATCAGTTCACAAAAACAGAGCAAAGTTGCCTAATGAGAGAAATTTGGGTCCTCCATCCGGTGGTATCAACAGGAGAAGATTGCGGTGGTGGCGCGGCTGCGCCCCACGAAACCATCGCCAAACGTGCCGTGGATCAGGGATCGGAGACGCGAGGGGTTCCGTGGGTTCCCCGGGAAAAATGGGGAAAATGGTGGAACGAGATCTACAAATCATGGGTTTTCTAAATCTATTCGATTTTTTTTTGGGAAAACTCATCAAACGACAAAGATGGAATTTGATAGCCTTAGATATGATGATACCACTGAGATTGAAGAAAACCTTTGATATTGGGATCCAGTCGTCAAACTTAGGGATTTGCAGAGAATCTAGATAAAAAAATCACAATTTTAGACTTGGGCAGCTAAAATAAAGCCGAAAACACATCTTCCTATGGCGTGATCGTTTTTCTGAGAACTGTTTTTCTTACCTCTTGCAATCTAACATGGCAAAAAAAAATGGCCATGGAACAGGAACATCCTATATACATTCGGCAAAATAGTCGATCGCCATGCTAGGCATGGAACACATTTCATTACCTCCAAAGTCAGGACGCTACAAAACCCGAAATTGACGCGTCTCGCTTGGTTTGACAGGGATCTTTCTGACCATGTTGAAGAAGATGGGCCTACCAAATGTAGAATATACAGGAGATACTAATGTGCTTAACGCCATGTTCCCAGGGTTTGCTGATTAAAGATGAAATTGGACCCACGTTCATATTTGGTCACAACTTTAGATTCCATCACGACCGCGATTATCGCGATTTACCCTCCCACAGTTTGGGATTACAGCCGAACATTCTATTTTAGTACAGTCAGCAAGAACACAGTCAATCCGCCCCATTTGTATATTCGTAACAGTTTAACTTAACCAGACCAACCCCCATTTATTGCACGCCAATCCCTGTATTAATTAATCGGGATGAAATTTCGACGAATGACATTTTGTATCCATTATAATCCCATCTAGAGTTTGTATTCAATTTATATTCCATTGGCAATATCCTACATGGGATTACCATCTATATCTCATCTACATTCCACTATAACCATCTATAACCCAATATATGATAATCCCATCATTGTCCCATCTATACTCCACTGCAATAAACCCCAGTAGCTGCGGGCTTGCCACCTGCACTTCACGGCTCTAGGTGCATCACAAGGAGACCGAATTCGTGGTGCAGGTGCCACGAGGTGCTAGCGCTGACATGATTTTTTTTTCGGATCAGCAGAGGATTTATTGGACATTTCATGATTTTATGGGATATCAATGAGATACATCATCCCATCATCCCACCGACCAACTCACTTTTAGATGAAAGTAGTCTTGCCAAACCTTAGTTGGGAGGGTTTGTGTATTTTTCCTGCATTTTTTTTCTCTTCATCTCAATTCGAAAGAGCTTCCAGTGGTTTCGAGTCAGCCTGCGGAAGTTTTTGGCACATGGCCCAGATGGTTTGCAATACAGGGGTCTCCACTTGGTAAGGCCGAGCAGCAGGGTTTGTGATGACTTCGGAATTGCAAACCATTTCAAGAGAAGTAAATCAGATGGGTGCCTTTTTGGACCCACAAATGGCTGGTGATTCTTATGACATTACTCTTAGTATATATATATATACATTTATTCATAGTATGAACCCAGTATTCCGCAATCAAAGTCATGGCAAGCTTGCGAGAGCGCGCCATAGCCTCCAGGAAGCGATACAGTCAACAATCAGGTGGAGGAGTGACCTGTCATGTCCCATCTCCCACTTTAAATCTGATTTCACATTTTTTTGTGGAAGCAACTGTGTGAGCAAAGTAGCTATGTGGTTCATCAACCAACAGCCTGAACTTCAGTCGGGAGATGATTTGCATTTGAGGAACTTCTAAAAGATAGTTTGGAATTTGGAGACCAGATCGGCTGCAAATGACTGTTGTCCGGTTCTCCATGGGTACAGGTCAGACTTGCCCCAAGCGTCCCAGGTACAGCTTCCGCTTCGCGCGGGTCTTCGGACCGCAGGCCACGCAGCGCGAAGTCTTTGACGTGGTCGCCAAGGTTGGGGCGCCAAGGGCGCGCTCGCCGGAGTTGGTGGGGATTGATCTACATGGGTCACATGGGGCTACGGTCAGCATGGAGGACCTGGTGCTTGGAGCCCTGGATGGCGTCAACTGCTCCATTTTTGCATATGGGCAGTGGGGATCTCAGACTGATGCCGTGACAGGTTGTGATGGGCGGAGGCGGCTACTGATACTGGTTGTGATGGGACATCAGCACACGCCTGTAGCACCCACCCAGTGTTCCCCCAGGGTTGGTCCGTCCAATAGCAGGACTGGCAGTGGCAAGACCTACACCATCTGTTGGGGGCTGAGAGCTGGAAGCCTCGTGCGCAAAATCAAGATTTTCCAACTCCTCCCGGTTGGCAACGAGCATCATTAGTGGTTTGGAAAATCGGCTTGGAAGACTCGATGAATCTCGATTCTTGATGATATTTGCGTCAATTTCGTACAAACTTTTGAAGTTGTGGGAAACTTAGAGATTTTTGCCGTCCACATAGGCTGGCTCAAAAAAGATTTGCACCCCAAAGCTCTCCCATACTTGCTCAAACAAACTCTTTATCAACAAATATATGAATGAATCCAAACTTGGATAGTTTAAGTTTCTTCACAAAATAAAGTTGAGATCAGTTGATTCCGAATCCGTTTGGCCAGTTTCTGTTTTAAATCTCCCATTTTTTCCAGCTTCAATTCACAGAACATTCCCAAAAAATCCCGTAGAATCACCACTCAACCGCTGTTCTCCATGTTTTTTTTTTTTTTTCGAACACCCAAGGTGGGGACCACAAGGAGCGGGGCATCATCCCGCGAGCCCTGAACTGCCTCTTCGAGGCCATCGAAGGTGTGCTGCCGGGAAGGATGGACAAAAATGGCTGGTCATCAACTGGAATATTAATATGGCCATCTAATAGGGTTTACCCCCAATTTTAGCCATTTAATAGGGTTTGCCCCCAATTTTTAGCCATTTAATAGGGTTTGCCCCCAATTATAGTCATTATAGCTGGGGACGATGGTAATCCAATGCATTTAGGGGTACACGATTTTCAGAGAAACCCATATGGCTATGGATCAATACCGTTAAATGCTACATTTTTAGGGGGATGAACATACATAAATCCCAACTATTTCGATGTGAACTACAGGGGGACAAGGTTTTGAGCCATAGCCATATGATGTCCATTTAGTGGGGGGTAAAAAAATCCTATATTTTGTACATAATGACCATTGATAGAATGTATAATGAGGGGGTACCTTTCCTTTTTTTCTCCATACTCCACTACAGGATATTTAATACTCAACCCTGATTGTAACCACGCTTTTTTTTTTGGGTGATGATGTCCACCAAAAGGATCCAAGGATGGTTTGGATGTTGAATGACTTCCGTTTAATGGTGGTTTTCCATTGTTAGGTTTTCCATAGTTATGTTAGAGTACCAGATCAATGGCCTTATATGGTACAGTATCTCTATTTTAGGATCCTGGAATTCCCATTGACCAGAGGGTAAGATTTCCAAATGACCAGCCCACCCCTGTCCCAATCCGTCCCAATCTGCAGGCCGTGGTGATGGCGTGGATTATTTGGTGTCCTTGTCCTTCATCGAGGCTTGGGGAAGATATTGAACCGTTGGAAAGTCAACATTTGAAGATCAACTAAGAAATGTTTGAACATATATAACATGATATAACATGATATAACATGATATAACATGATATAACATATTGCAACAATTGTTGATCAATATAGTTTGAGACTTTGGTTACTGGGAATATGTTGATCTCCCATTTGAAGATTGCTAGGGCTTTTCAGTAACCAAATGTTGGGAGATTGCAACACAACAAGAAATGGTGGTACGTCTACGTGTAGAAGCAGCGGGCACAGATGTCAAACCATCAAGGTGTAGCTACTCATCACATCTCAAAAGGTTTGAATATGAGTTGAGCTGAGATGAAATAGGTAAGTAGCGTTCATAAAGTGCACCCCCAGCTTGTAAGTTGGTTTGTAACCTTGTTAACACAAGTTGTAATCGCCATAAATCCATATAATTCCTAGTTATTGGGGGCCTCACCCGCAGGTCTATAAGGAAGTGGGCTACGACTTGCTCTCGAAGGACGTGCACCAAATGGTGGGATTTTTGGTGATGTATCAAAAAAAATGGGAGCTGATTTAACCACAAGTTTCTTGTGGATTCAAGGGAATTTTTTCACAAAGATGGTGATTCTACTGCTGTCCTCTTATAATCCATCTGCAAATGGCTCTTCCATTGTCGGGACAGCTCAGCTTGTGGAACTGAGAATCGGAGAAAACCACAGATTCGTCCGCAAAAATTGGGAGATATCATGAGAGATCTCAATTTTTGGCAATGGTCATGGGATGTCATGGGAAAACGACGTGCTAAGTCCATGACATGTTGAGGCTTTCCTAAGAATTTTGGTGCCAGGACTTCGGTCGAAACCAGGCGTCGGGGGTGTTACAGCTGGGGTTGGATTGTAACCTCTGTGGGGATGTGACCCGTGTCTATCAGTATGGTTATATGTCCAAAATGTGGTGATTTTGTTCCAACAACAACCAATGCACGTTGTAGAAACCGGCGCTGTTGGGACCTAAGGTAGGGTGGGATGCAACAACGCTGATGTTGACTTGCACACGCCATTGGTGCTGGGTGGGGTGACATGAACGTATTTTGTGAATATTAATGAAAGAACGTTGCATGGTTTTCAGAGTTTCGCCCGGCCTTCAAAATGTCATTGATGTGAAAGAAACAAACAGATGATGGAGAACAACTCATGTCGCTTGATTGACGAAGAGGCTTTCGCATGTAAAACAGAGGCAACACCCCTTCAGCCAATACATTTGCAGCTTTGCAAATGAAGATCTCAAATCAGACATGGGGATCTCAAATCAGACATAGGGTTTCAACCAATGGCTACCCCATGTGATCAGCAGTGAAGCGAAACTTGGTTTGGGCGCAGTTCTTGGGCAGGATACATGGCCCGTGGTCAGCGTGTCGCTGCAGAGTGGGGAGGCGGTCCTGCAAGGCTGGGACCCAACCAGAGTTCACAACTGGCACCCTTTCCCTCTACATCTAATGATTCTATATCATATATCAGTGATTATTAATATATATATATATTTATTATGTACATATATCAGTGATTTACATCTAATGACTATGTCAGTGATTACCAGTAGACGTTGTAGATGGAATATGATAGAATGTTGCTACACCTATTCTGAGACGGCTAGACTCAAATCTTTGGATCTGCTGAAACTGTTCCTGGGCGTGTTGCATTCTGATCTCAAATCATGGCTCGCTTCCTCCCAAACAGAGAAATATACAGAGATGGGACACTGACAAGTGACAACGCTGATGTATCAGAGATGCCCCGAACAAAAAATTGGAAAAAAAAAACCAGCCCACCGAAGATCCAGCCGCCCAGCGATGTTGCAGCTTCCAGCAGTGACTCCACAGTGATCAAAACATATCCGAGTAATGTACCGCTGTGACGAGCCATAGAACTGGAAAGCCTTGCCTGATGGGTGGGTCGTCTCTGGGCAGCATAGGGAGAAATTTTTCCCATGCGCCAAACAGAACTAGGCAAGGCAAAGTGTGTGGATTTGAGAACATTGCACTGCCTGAATTTTGTGCACCCAGTGAGGCTGAATGAGGATCTCTTGCCTGGGGCGCCTTGGGAGGCGGGGGGGGTAGTGCGGTAGGTTCCGGTGGTACTGTGAAATGCTTCGGGCCCCCCCGAACTAAAATCGCAATGTTTTTGTTCTAAGTTTTAAGGTTCAATCTGCTCGCCATGTTTGTGGGGGACCTGCCTCAGCCAAGGATGCCACAGCGGCGCAGCTTGGTGTTGAGCTGGAGCAGAGGGGCTTTGTTCACATCCGAAGAGACTGCGATGGCAGTTGCTCAGCTCAACTGGCAAGGGCTGTGGCTTGTTGGCCCTGGTTCATGGTGATTTTGGGGATTGGATCAAAACATTCTTGGCGAATAAACATCCTTTTACCAACTACAACTAATCATGTGTGTATATATATATAACACTATTTTGGTAGGTTTTGACCTCTCTCGTTCTTCTCTCTTTTGTGTATATTCTTTCTTTTTTTCTCTAATATCTGATATATATATATGTATATATATATATATACATGTATTACAGGCATACGTACATATATCACATGTATATTCATATTTATATATATATATAATATAATGGAAATTCTATGAATTCAGAAGCTATCCCCAATTTTCCTCGGAGGTGGCGCTTTGGCCCAGTTGGAGGTCGAGGATCTGTGGCTCTCGCGGCAGATGCCGCGGACACCGCGGGAGGCGCTGTCTAATCATCGTCTAATGATTGGGGCTTCTTAATGGAACTTGACTTCATTGAAGTTACTTTTGATAGGTGATAGGTCTTAATGATTCTTAATGGGTTGATTTCTCTGTGATTTTGCGGCTTGATTCTTACTCGATGATGCGTCGGGCGATTTTTTGGAAGCAGATATTATCTTGCAAGTACCTATTTGATCCTATTTGTCGGGAACTTGGGCTGGTACCTTTCAAGCTATGGCGTTTTCCACTTTCCAACATGTTGGGATGGTTGATCCGTTGGTCATCCCGGGGCAGATTTGGCATATCAAATTTGGATGGGATAAATTCATATTTGATACCCGGCCTGGTAAACATACAAAAAGCTATTGAACATGGCCATAGAAATAGTGGATTTACCCATGAAAATCGCATGTTTTTTTTTTTTAAAACCATAGTTACGTACACGTTTACCAGAGGGTACTTCTGAATTCATCATGAATCAGTCATTGTATCTGACATGTGGTGAAACCCCAAAAAGCCCAGCCCCATTAGTCGTGAAAGTTCCAGTCCTTGTTTTCAGATGCTGGACGCCTACCTGGGCTTCGCCTCCGATTGGACCTATGAGGTGAGACCCACCTCCCAGGAGAAAACGGCAGCGATGGAAGCCATGGCCCATAGATTTGGAGAATGGGAAGGTCCTTGGGAAATCATGGACACATGGAGGTTTTTATATTTTTATCATGTTTAAATGGAAAGATCATCGAACTAGCCTCTATTTTGTTTTCTCCATAGCTCTGGAAAATGGCCCATTTATAGATGAGAAATATGATAATTTACCTAGCTACCAAATGGTGGTTTTCCAGTTCGCTACGTAATCGATTACCAGAGGGTAAACGGTACATTTTTTCATGGCTGGTGGCGGTGAGTTCCTCCAGTGCCAATTGAGGACTTGGTTGAAGATTGGCAAAGCCCAACATCCCATGGTCTATGTCTATCATCATTTTCGCCATGAAAAGAACCGTAGAGGTAAGGTAAATCCATATGTATATATACATACATAATTACATATGTATGTAAATCCCCCATAGTTCTTGAGACTGAGCCAACTGGTGCCGGGCCGCATGGTCGTCCCTATGAATCCTGGACTTCGTTCAGGAGTTCGAGGGCTTGCATCAGTTGGACCAAGACTTGGAAAAGTTGGGGCAACTGGTGGAAGAGCCGCTCGCTTTGAAGCCTCGTTTGTTAGTCGGTGATGCTTGGGTAGTTTCGTTGTTTTGTTTGGTTTTGTTTTTGATGAATCGATGGTGTGTTAACGGAGAATTTCAGGCTTGAGAGGTTTGGTGCTTCACTGGTGATTTGGCGATTTCGAAAGACAGTTGCTGATGCCCCCGCCCTGAAAATCTGGGAGATGGTGCTGAGCCATGATCTGAGGGCAGTGTCCAGCTTCTCTCGTCACCATATCACAGGGCGTTCCTCAGGGCTGCTGCATTGTCATTGTTGGGAAGCCTCCGAGCAGGCTGGCTTTGAGTTTCCTTGGGCTGGGCGGCTTGTGACAAATTCTGAGCTTCCGCGCATGATTTGGAGATGGGTGAAAACCTAGTGGCACCATCCTTGGGAAAATAAACATCAGGGTACCAAGGGTACCAGGGTTTTGACTCATAGCTATTTGGCTACAAATTGGACTGTTTGAGGGTGAGCCCCTTTGGCCGGAGCCGCCTTTGCTGCGCAGGTATACTTTGATCCACCACCCAAACTCCAAGATCCTTTCGAGGCAGCGTCGTTCGAAATGGGTGGCACGAATGAGACCATGGAACTGAAATGGGTCGGAATTGCCAGATAGCCCAGGAATGACATTTCAAGATCTTCCAATTCGGAGGTTATTAGCTTAATTACCACAGCTAGCTTCTGCCAGCTGAAGTGTCTCTTGCTTTAGCAAGGTATTGGTTGGGCTGGAACCTCCAATCGTGTGAAACTTCTCAGTTATTAACTACCCCAGGCTGGTTCACAAGCAGTTTGGCCGTTGCTCAATCCCCCAGGGACACCGTCGGCATGTCGCCACCCTACCTCTCATCCTCAACTTCGGTTTTGCACTGCGTTACTTTTTCCCGCGCTTCCAAAGGTCCACTCCGATGCCGAAGGTGGACTTTTGAATCTTTCCCAATCGGTGGTCATCATGTTGGCTATGCTGAATGCCCTCATCCTCTTCATGCAACAGTACATAATCATATATGTTATCCTCGTCCCCTCCCGTTGTACGTTGCCTCAATACATAGGTCTGGATTTTCGCCTTACCAATACGCCCCAGCTTCACACCCGCTCGTCCACGCTGACAGAAAAGCTGCGCAGCTGCGCTGTGCCCTTTGCGTTTTCATGCCAAGTTCCCTGCCAAGCTAGTTTTCGTCCCTTATCCCTGGGTCTCAAGTTATATATATATATCTACATGATATTTCATGAGATGTCATGGCTGTACCAGAAATCTATGGCTTCAGATTGTTGATGCACCCGCATTTGGATGTCCAACCTGTGGCCAGGCTGGGCCCTATTTGCGTCATTGTTCGATGAAAAAGGTGGGCGCTGGAAGGGTGAAGGAATAATTTTTTTGAAATCAAATTCTGTTGGTTTGATACCCAGTGGGCCGCGTGTCCCGAGACTTGGGGACTGCCTTACAAACATCGTTTTAAGGAGAGATTTGGGTCCCTGCTGATCTGCGCTGATTTGGAGATGTCAATTGTCATGTTGGTATAGATGAAGTGGGGGCTCCCAACTCACCCACGAATCGTGTGTCACTTTCAGATTCTTTAGAACCTTTGAGTAAGCAACCAAATTTATTCAATGGACACCATCCATTCTGGGGGGTCCAATCAATTTTGAGCATTTCAACATATGGAGGTTTCTTGACATGGGGTACCCCCAAATCATCCATTCCAATAGGATTTTCCATTATAAACCATCTATTTTAGGGTACCCCCGTTTTGGTTCCCCCATATTTCAATGAAGAACCTTCCAATTTCAGTGCCCAAAAACATCCAAAAACCATTGAAAACCTGAGCTGTTAGGTGGTGTTGATCTATGCCTTCGACGCCTCCCAGCTGGTGCTTCGGCCTCGGGCGCAACCGGAGGACCGGATTGAGGTCCTTCTGAGTGCAGGCGCAGAAAAATCTCTGGTTGTGGCTGAAAAATGGGGGGGATTTACTCCACAAAGTTTTTTTTTTGGAAGAAGATGATGATAAACCAATGGGGATTTAGGGGTATCGGATTTTCAAACCCAGATGTGAGTGTTGCTGAAAATTGTTGCCCCCCCATTTGTTGGAGAATAAAGTCCATTTTGGATGCGTAAGTGCAGATGATAGATCTGGCATATTTTGGTTGAGAGCAAACAATGAGCAATTCTCATGGGTCCTTGGGTACTCCATTTTGGAGCCCTGGCGATGTGGGCGCACTCCAGGGCATGTGTTGGTCTACTTGCACGAAGCCTATGATTTGTCGGTGGAATCCTGTAGCTGCTTGGTGGATGTGGTAACCTTAGTGAGCACAAACCAATGGAATTTCCCACGGATGTTTACTAAACATGGTAATCAAAAGCTTGGGCTTTAGTTTCTTCATGAGGTCAAGATTTGGGTACCCAAGTCTTGATCCAGTTGTTTGATTCTTGGTTTATTCCCATCTAATGGTCACTCATCCACACAACCATTTCTCCGGAAAGGTATCAATCAACCGTTAACTCAATGTAGAACCGTGTTCTGTTTTGCCCCATGGCAAACTGTTTTCCATGACACCACCCATTTCAATCATCCATGAACTAAAATACCTTCCCAATGGTCAATCATCCAGATATAAATCAACCATGTCCATAGATTCCACAATCAATCATTCGAAAAAAACAAAGCACACCAACATCATCCATGAACTATATAAAAATATAAATATAGACCACATTTTCGAACGAAACATGTCGTTTGCCCACCTTTTTTGTTGCCGAAAGGTCCGCTGCTCCCATTGGGGAGGGGTACCCTGAGGTCCCGCTGGCTCCTCCACTCGCTGGGCAGTGGCTCGACAGGTGCCGAAACCAGAGAGGAAGCTAGGCGCGCGGAGAGCGAGGGATGGGGTGAGCCAAATCTTCTGGGGGGTTAAGCTGCAAAAAATGTAGGTTTAACAGTTTAACACACAAATGTAGGTGTAACCACTGATAACCCACACGAAAATAGGGGTTTTACCCTAGGGTTTAAGCTACAGATTTAGCTTTTAGGCGCCAAATGGGGTCTACAAGCCATTATAAACAGCATTAAAGAACAAAAATGACGGTTGATGATATCCCCTAATGTGCTCTCTACACTGTAGATGTATGGAAGGCAGAAAACTCAAGGTTTCCTGTGTAGCGAAACATCCTCCGCAGGTTTATTCCTGCAGTTGGATCTCCTGTTTGAGCGCCCCGCACAGCACAAGCTGAAGCAGGCTGGAGTTTTTTTGTCCTTTGGGCGTGTCTGGAAAGGAGGGATGGTCCCAAAGTGGCTATTTTTTTAAAAGGGAAACTGGTGATCAACTCTATGGGTTTTTGGGGTATCCTCCAAGTTATAGTCATTTTTTTTTTGGGGAAGATGATGAAAAATGATGATAGGAAGCCTCGATGGATCTTGGGGTTTTCTATTTTCAACAAAGGCCCCAGGGGATGTCTCAACAGCGGCAGGAGCTGTTGCCCTTGCCTCGCCGCCTTGTTGAGCAGTTGCCCGGTCTGATTTTTATTGAAGGCACCGTTAAAAACACCCATTCCAAAGGGTTTACTAAGGGTTTATGGAATTTATTCAATGGGGTTTCACGGGAACATCATGGGATACTTACGGGTCTACGAACCACCAGCACACTCGTTTATGAGGAAATTCAAAGCAAGAATGGGATTTGTGGGATGCAATGGGTTTGTTCACCACCAAAAACCACGATATTTTCATAGGGGATTTAGTGACAATGGGATCTAATGGGGTTTCACCATCAACAACCACGTTTTTCGAATCGGCGAATCTGAACCATCTGTTGTGAGGGTCCAATCGGGGGCGACTGGTTGATTCTTTATGACCATTCCAAGTGTTCTCTGCATTTTTGGATTCCCAATTTAGCAGTTATCATCAGTAATCCATTTCCCAAAGAACAGGTCGGCTGGAGTACCTGTCATCAGTTGCTGTACCATGCAGTGATATATCTTATCTTGTCTTATCTTATCTTATCCTATTTTATCCTATCTATCTATGTAGCTATCTAGCTATCTATCTAGATATCAAAGAGTCAATATGATCTATATCTTTCTACATAGATATCAACGAGTTCAAATCTGAATATACAGAAATATGATTTTGAAATATGATTTTAGACCATAAGAAATCTGATTTTAAATATTTGTTTACTTTTAATCTAGGGGACATGGGATGACCGGGATTGATCGAGGTACCAACATCTCCTCGAGTCCTGCGAGGCCGGCGATGACCATTTTTTATGCGATTTTTCCTAAGATTTTGGTAAACTTTGGAAGCTTTTGGAAGCTGAGCACATTTGGAAGCACATTTGGAAGCTGAAGATCTTCCAACCGGACCTCGGTTGTCGTTTGTGACCGTTTGTGCCTGCGCCTTCTCAGATGGAGCCTGAAGAGATGAATTTGATCTCGCTGAAAGATTTGTGCCTTGGTGATTTTTTTTTCCGGGATCTGGGAACCCGATTATTTTGACTGGGTTTTTTGACACAACTGGATGATGCTGGATGTTCATCCCCATGGTTTTTTGGTAATGTATGGTAGGTTTGATCCATTCCCGACCTCTGATTTGGAGCTTTGATGTGGTCACCAGAAGCACCACCAACCCCCCCGTCACGAGGCACCTGGATGGACTTCGTGGAATTTCGATCGTGCCTCGCAAAAACGATGGGGTGATTCAGGTCATTGAATGACTAGAGGTTGGGGGTTTCATAGCCCATTTTTAGACACGGACCCAGATATCATGTTGGTATATGTTGGTCATATATCCCATATTGATATCCCGTTGTCATCGATAACAGTTATCCCATAAAAAATGGTAAAACAGGGGAACTGGGACAAGACAGGTTGGAGGTCAGGTGGGAGGCTGTTATGTTTTTGTTCAATGTTGTAAATCTAAATGTTTGACTGTTTCTTTTTGATTATCTTGCTAAATGTGTTGTTGAGGTTGTTGTGATAATGTTTGGATTGAATGAAGGGGATAATTGTTGAGGTGGACAGAGTTTCTATGTCTAGGCTCAGGTTTAAATTCTACCAAGCTGTTGTTCAAAGATGTCGAATTATTTGCTTCAAATTCATGTATTGATTGAGGTTAGGCGCTGTGGTTCCTGTTTGGTTTTGCATATCAAGCATCCTTCAATACCAAAGCCAGTTTGGCACAAATTGACTGCACCGATGTATTGTCCCTTTTCTTCGACATTCCGCAGATGCATCTTTGTGAGGCAGGTTGAGCTTGCGCCAGGCCGGTTCGTCCTTCCAAGCGGTCATGCACGAACACAGCCCGCAAGGGCTTTTCCGGCGCAGACCGTTAAAACTGGTTGGACGTTGTTGAGCACAGGGAGCGTCGTAGTGCTGGTTCTCCAAGCTCTCATTCAAAGGTTCCTTCCTGGCTTTTCATGAACAGGGCAGTGAGGAAGGCTGGGCAAAGGCTGAAAAGGAAAGAGCCCGCCCCTGCACGGCCCCTCGAGGAGGAATACATCAAGGACTTCATCAATTCACCTCAAGGTTAAGCTTTGAGCACCCCTTCCTTCTTGGTGGTCAGTGGTTCCCAAGGCATTGGGAAATCAACCATGCTGAACAATCTCATGTGTGAGCATGTGAAGAATGGCAAAAGGGTGCTTCCTCTTGATATTTCTGTTCGTCCTGGTGAGGACTTGAAGCTGAACGTTACCCGTCGTCAAATGTCAAATTTTTGCTGGAACGGGTGAATGAGACGTCCAAGCACCGAACAGGCAGTGCCGTCGTGGTATACCTGCAACTCACAACCAAAAGGCGCGGAGACAAATTTAGTAGGGATGCCTGTGATGACATTGCTTCCACCCTCGGTGCCTTCGCTCGCAACATCACCTACGACAATGCCGCGTGCAAGTTCATTTTGGAGGTCAGCGTGTCTGCTGTGGCCGACATCATCACCGAAAGGTTTGACATGTCAAGGCTGGTTGTGGTGCGACCGCTGCCCTTCGAAGACTTCACATCTGTGGTCAAGGAGGTGGCAAAGCAGGGAAACGACTTCCGGACGCTGAACAAGGTTCTTGCCGAAGATGACATGGACGAGGTGTTGAAGCACTACTACATCCGCGTGGGGGGCAACTTGCGCGCCTTGGACTTGATACTGGAAGACGTCTCCAGAGAAGGTCAGAAAGGTGCGGATGCGGTCATCGAGCAGGTTGAGCAGTGGTACAACCGGAGGGTGGAAGCAATTGAAAAGAAATTGGACGACCAGGAAGTGAAGGACTATCTCCTCAAGGTGGCTGGGGCAGGACCCATGGGGTATCTCCCAAACAGCAAGCAGACGACCCAAATGACTTTGAATCTTATTCGTGAGGAGCCAGCAGACTGCGTCCTGAGGAGTACAACCAATTTAAGGGTGGCTTTGAAGCATTGGCATTTCGTCGCCAAGCTCTTTGAAGAGGATGAGCAGAAGTTGAGGGATGCAGGATACATGTGAGCTTCGCCGGTGAAAAAAAAACTGTGGCGCTTGAGATGTTTTGTGGGTGAGTCATCCAAGAGTAATTTTCACGTGTTGCATGCATAACCGCAGATACCTAGTATCAATGATACCCAGATACCAGTATCCAAGTATCAACGATACCCAGAACCGAGTATCAATCATTCACCGAACAAGCAACAACAGACAAATCGTTTCACCCTGAACTTTTTTAGCCAAACCATCAAACACGGACACGTTTCACCCTCAACTTTTGACAAAAGCATGAAATACGGACAAATCGTTTCACCCTCAACTTTTATAGCCAAACCATCAAACACGGACAAATCGTTTCACCCTGAACTTTTGAAGACAAAAAATCCTTACTTCAACAAGTGTCCTAAAACCATCGTTTTAGCGTTCAAAAAACATCAATTTAGGACATTTGTTAAAAACACAATTTTTAGAGCAACAGACCCAAAAACACTTAAAGAAATGACACCTTATAGAATCAAAAATTGAATATGCCCTGCTATATGTATATTAACGGAATGAAACAAGAAATGGACGAAGACCTTTTTGACCAAATGGCGGAAGCACTACACCAATCCAGCAACCCTCAAAATCCACCAACCACAACATCCACAAGATGGAAACCCGACGGAACTTACGACAAGAAACCATTAGACCCCAATTATTTTTCAAAGTATTCTCAAAAGAAATTATCAACCCCTTTCACCTGTCCAGACTGCGGACGAACCATCACAAGCAAATCCAATCTATCAAAACACCGTCAAACCAACAGACGTATGAACAGCAGACGACACTAAAAATAAAACATTCTCATTAACAACGCTTTGTTAATCAGAATGTTTTATCTATTCATTGTCCATTCCCGTTTGTTTGACACAGTTGTTCTTTTGATGCCGATCCCATTCCGATGAATATCCAAGTTGTGATCCCATGATTAGCCTCTGGTAATTTGTTACATAGCTATTGAACGTGGCCATAGAAATAGTTAATTTTCCTATGATAAATGGTGATTTTTCCGTAGCTTCTTGTATGTTGAGCAGAGGGTCTCCGATCATCCAATTTTCTCATCCCATTCGAGGCCTCGCTGCATACGGCGCTTCCCAGCTTGCCGACGGATTCAGGCCTGGCCGCTGGCCTCGAGGCGACGTCGACGGTGGGATGTTTGGTGATTTGGGGGTTTCCATAAATGGGGTACCCCATAGCTGGATGGTTTATAAATGTTTATAATGGAAGAACCTATTAAAATGGATGATTTAGAGGTACCCCTATTTCAGGAAACCTCCATTTAAACCACATTGTCAGGGTTTCAAACATCAATTTGTGAGGGATTTTTTTCAGTATGAAACATGGGGATTTTTCAGATGATTTAAACAGACATCATTGGGATTATACTGAGGATATAGCAGGGGATGAGGGGGATAGAATTCGATGGTATTTTCTTCAATGTGATCTCTTGGGATACGTGACCTAATATTCTTTGAAGGCGTCGATCATCAAAAATGTTGGTTGAACATGATTCAACCATGTAAAACGGCCGCTTGCCGTTCATGCTGCCTGGTTGTTGACATGATTTAGTTGTGATTACCATCGCATTATCAACATGACATGACGACATATAGAGGTAAGAACCATTTCATATTTGTATATATATATACATACATATATATATATATATCATATGTAGATACATACATATCATATCATACCCCTCAATGTATCACCCATCCAGATCCACCCAGTTGGTTTTTTCATCCCTCACCAGGCCGCGCTGGTGGGTGGCCTGGACCCGGTCACTTGTGTGCGGAGCCCGCCGAAAGGCTGCAGCCGCTCCGCTGAGATGCGCGAGAGGTGACCGGGACCGGTTGACGCCGTTCGCGCTGACGGGGACGGAGGGAAAAAACATGGAGATTTCATCAGGAGTTCATGGGGATTTTACGGATTATATCATGAAAAATAGAGATTTTGATGGGAATTTCAGCAATTTAACCGTGACAAATATGGATTTCGATGGGGATTTCAGCATCAAAACTAGGGATTCAATGGACAATTGAACGCCAGGGATTTTTCCATGGGAAGTGAGATTTCATCGGAAAACATGGGCACCCTTAATTGGATAGAGCATGATAGAACTAACGAGTCTGGGTAAAGCCTGGATGGGTCAACCAGCCAAGAATGGTGATTTATATGCAGCTGGTACAAGTGGGGAGACCTTGGATGGATACTTCGGTATTTTGATCGTTTGGATTCTTTTGGTATAGGAACATAGATCTGAACCAGCTAAAAAGATATTTTTTTTTCTTCTTGCAGGGTATCTAAGATTTGCCATAGGAAAATGGAGGTCCCAACATGATAAGACGTAGATTCCGAAACAGACAAAGAAGGAACAAAGGATGGATTTGACGTCTTGACTGTAACAAGCAATGGTATATCAAATATCAAACATGGAGGCCAAAACCAATGAATTTTCCGATTTGCCCATGCGTTTCCCGAAACGAGTTTCAGATTCAAGGATGAGTTGGGATATAATTCTGGATATAACATGATATAACTATGTGTATCATTTCAATTAATCTTTGCAGACGAAACAACCATATTGGATGCTAGAACCAGCATATTTTCGTGTAAACGGCTCTCTTGAACCAATCCATTGAATGTTTTTGTGTTTTTGGTGCTATTGGGTGACAGATATTACAAGACTTGTGGAACCCGTTGTTGGTGAAAAAACAGGTGTTTCGTTCTACGGACTTAATTGCTTCGTGCTATTATCTTGATGGATTTATTTTTTGTTTTCCTCACCCATTTGTGAATTTTCACATATTTTGAATGTCATTCTCGATTTCATTCGATTCTTCTTTGATATTGATTCATGCTATGTTGGAATGATCATGAATGATCACTTCAGGACGTGGAAGACTTCCCAGCCATGGGGCCCCAAACGTCACCGATCATAGCCATAGCGGATCCAATTTCCAAGTTCTTCGGTATTTGAATATTTTGGATGATGCAACATCAACTGAGGTGTTGTTGTAATATTTTCTGGTTTATCCGTGTTTGCTCTAAGTTTTTTCATAATCTTTGACTGGTTTTCTTCCCCTTGAAGGGGGGGCCCTCCCAATTATGACTCAGGGTACCACTGCCTTCTGTGCGAAGGCAATACTTTGGGGCAAAGTGGGATTTGTCTGAGTACTACGAGGAGAACCCCACAGGTTGGGGCAGTTGGGGCCTATGGTCCAGAACTCGAAAGCCCTCAATGCCATAGTCAAAACCCAAGAATTTGACCTGGTATTGTGGGAAACCCAACAAGAAACCATCCCAGCAACCAAACATTTAGGGGTCACTTTACATCATCCCAAATAGGGCGGCATACCCAATAAACGACCTCTATTGGGGACGTTTTATTCGGTTTACCGCAATTTTTCATTATTATCCCACCACTATTCTATATTACCATATTAATAATCAGGATGATTAGTATTACATAAATAATCATCAATAACCATTACTAAGCCATTAAATGCCATTAATAGTACCATTGGGTCTACCATGGGTTTGTTGTTGGGTTTACCACATTACCAGGTCAATCCATGGGAACGTTGTTATGACCTGGCCACAGATGACGAAATGAAAATCTACTCCAAGCATTTGTCCGTGCTGTACCAGAGCACCTTGGCAAAAAAGTTTTGCAGCCCTGGACGTTGCTGGGTCGCCCGAATGATGGGTGCTTAATTTTGAATATACATATATACGTATGTATTACATACATTATATATATATATATCTATTATGCACATGCATGTATATCTTTATATATATATATACATATATATATATATACATATATGACTTTCAACAATGACTTGCCGTTACCATTCTCAAGCTTCATGCCCTGGTGGTTCGAAGAGGTTTTCCGTCTGCTGGCTTTCGGGTTCGTCGTGGTTCGGTTGGTCCTTCCTGCCTACTGCACGACTTTCGTCCCTTGCTTGCTGGCCTTGTTGGTTCCGGGTTGTGCTTGGGTGTGGTCCTGACCTTGTGCCTTGGACTTTATCTTTCTTTTGTTTGTCCTTTGGCCCTTCTGTTGGTGTCCCACTTGTTCACCCACCTCTTCGTCCCACTTCTTCTGCTAGGCTCCTTGCCTACCTGCATGAGCATACCCACTCTCCTAATCTCTGCGATTAGGAGCGCTGTGTCTTCACTTCGTGCCATTGCCAACTCACTTGAGGCTGCATTGAACGGTGCCGAGGCCGTAAGCTCTGCCTTTGCCGGCCTCCGGGCCCCTGATCCTGGTCTGTCTGTGGAATTTGACTTGGAATCTGCTTCTTGGGCTTCTGTCGGTGTTTCTTCCAGCCTTTCGGTTTCCCGTGCCTCCAGCCACGACGAAGTTGCTCAGCTTCTCACTTCTGCCCCTCCTGCTTGTCACCAGATCTGCTCTGTCCTTCAGTGTTCCCCTGAGGAGAGGAATCATAGAACCCAGCGCGCCTGGGAGGCAGGGCTTTGGGCCAAGGCCACACTGCAGGGGCAGGTTGATCGACCTAGGCCTACCCCAAAGCTGGACAAGAGACCTGTCACCTACATCATCCTTAGGGCTCCTGGACTTGCAGCCCCCACTCGAGTGGCAACCTCCGCGGAATACTTCCACATCATCCCCAGGTTCACGCCGGAGAGTGTCTCCCACTCTTTCGCCTCTCTCTGTGAAGGGAAGGTGTACTGTTTGGCCGCTGGAGTTGATTTTCCTGAGCCCAGGTCTAAATGATGGATCCCATCCTCCCATTGCGGTCTCTTGCAGAGGTGAAGACTCTAGATCAAGGCCCTGCCCCTCTCTATGTGCTGCTTCTTCCAGAAGTGTCCGACCCTTCTTCAGGAGTTGTTCTCCCAGAGTTTCAGGTGTTGGCCATTCCCATACTTTCCAGGCAAGACGGTCTGCTTTTGGCCATCCCGTCGGATTCATTTCCTCCCGAGGTGATATACCCAGCAGAGCCTCCTCCGCCTCGAGCCCTGATAGGTCCTGCAAAGGAGGTCTTCGTGCAGGCCGCATCAGACGACGATGCTGGTTTGGAAAGGTCCTTGGACTACCAGATAGCATGTCTCTTGGTGGACTTCGACACTGCCGTGCTGCCCAGGCTACGAGGATTAGACCCTGTGACAGAAGGCCCAGGGATCCATTGTTTCTCGGAAGGTGCAATGGAGATATATCCTTCATCCTCGGAGCTACTGACAGCAGCCTACGCATGGTTCCAAGAGGAACAGGAGGGAAGGGTAGCTTTCTACTCGGCAGCAGAGGAATTTCCCCCTCAGCAAGCTCCCACAGCTGCAAAGGCAACCCAAGCCAAAGCCAAGCAGAAGCAGCCCCTCCCAAAGAGGGTTACAATCCCGGCCCTGTCTACCTCTCTTGTAGCTATGCAACTCAGGCAGGATCAAATGGAGCAATCCATGGCCCAGCGTCCCATCCAGCCTCCCGCACCCCAGCGTCAGGAGTTTGGATTTCTGACTCCAGGTGCCAAGCAGCCCCTGCCGAGCCTTTCCCCTTTCCTTCGCCAGGTGGGACCCCCGCCAAAAGTTCGGATGCCCCAGCGTTCCCAGCAACAGGAGCAGATGCCAGCAGACGAGCCCACTGCACCCCTGGAGGAGATGGACTTGTCATTGGAGGAGGAGGGCTATCAGGCTTCCATAGCACAGATGTTGCTCAAACAACAGATGGCCCTGAACACCTTAGTGTCCCACATGGCCAGTCAGGATGGGTTTCAAGATGTGGGAGGATCCGCATCAGCATCTTCGACCATCTCCCTGAAGGGGTCCGCCCGTCGAGATCGCTTGCTTGCAGATCTAGCTGCCAGGAAGAGCGCTTTCTTTTTGAAGGTGGCCCAGAATGCCCACCGACGCCTGAAGCCCGCGGAGATGGTTCCGCCTGCTCTGGCAGACTTCCCCCAAAAGGCCCTGTTCACCAAGTACCTAGAGAAGCAGGGAGGCTACACTGGCTTTCAGAGGGACCAAGGACTGACGATGTGGCTGTTGGGTCATGTGGCAGACCAACTCCTCTTGCAGGACTTCAAGGGTGCTCAGGAGATGTTGGCCCTTGCAATGGTGGCCATCGAGCAAAGTGCCATGGACAATGGGAAGTGGGAGGTGGCATGGATTTTGGCCCTGCAGGAAGATCCACCCCAGCAGCTTTTTACATACAGGCCCCAGGCTACGAACCCGAGGCTGAGGGCTTTCGGGCCGTTATGCCCGGCGGACTGGGGAGCCACTGCATTGGCTTACATAAAGGAGTTGGATCTGCTCAGCACTCGACGTGCCGAGGCTCTCCCCAAGAAGCAGGGAGGAGGAAAGCAGGAGGAGGATCTGGAGGACCCGGCCAAGGGGCCAAAACAGCCCAGGTATCCAAGGAAGCCAAAAGCCCAAGGAGGGCAAAACCAATCAGAAAGCACATGAGGCATGCAAGCACCAGCATAGCAAAGTCTAGCTCCCAACGCAAAGGTGTCCCCTTCGTAGGCCTGTCTTGCCCTAGTTCCGGGAATGTGGACTCTCCTTCCTCCTGCCGGGCCCATGGACTTTCGGCCGATGACGCTTTGCCTAATTGGTCTTCTCTTCAGACCTTTTCTTTCTTGCAATGGACTTCGTCGCTTTGTCGTCAGGTCTTAAGCAGTTGTACCCCTTTTGCATGTTTCCTGAAGCGGACTCTCCACATTGCCAGGTCGCCCGAAGTTGCACCTGCAAAAGTTTTGTATCCTCTCCCTCTGCCTAAGGTTGGTGTTTTTGAAGTTTCAGCAAATGCGGGTTCCAGAGAGCGAAGGCGGAAGGCTTTTGACCAGGCTGTTCATATCACCGTAATGGCTTTGAACTTTTGGCATGCCGATTTCAAGTTCCCGCCGTTGGACTCTTTGGCCCTCACCCCGTCGCCTTCTCAAGCAGATGTCCTTGATGGAATTAGGAGAATGGTCAAGGCTTTCGGTAGCTGTAAGGATGCCTTTGAGATTCCTTCCAGTGGCCGTAGATCAACCTCTTTGATTTCCCAGCTTGCCGACCTTTCAGATTTTGTTTCCTGGGGGGGTTTGGCTGGTGCGTCCTATTCACGAGGCTTCCAGGGTTCCCAAGAGCCCCTTGGAGCTTTCATGCATGTTCCAGTGGATAAGACTAGGGCCCCTGAACTAGTTCCATACAGCAGCCTCAACCCAGAAAGGCTTAGGCTGTCAGGTTCAGGATCCTGGGATGCTTCACAGTTTTTGTCCGACCCACTTTGGATGGCTTTTTGTGAACCTTCTTCACTCAGATGGACTTTGAGTGGAAGATCGCAGGATGTTCCGGATGTTGAGAAGGAGGACTATGATGCTGTTCGAAGACTGATGAAATTGTGGGATGCAAGAGGACTCCTTTTCTTGCGTGATGAGCCGCTGCCATGTGATGAGACGGACCTCTCAATGCGTTTCTTCAATTGCCATAAGAATGCCAGTGCAGACCGCATGATAGGGGATAGAAGAGCCATGAACTTTGTGGAAGGCACCATTCCAGGCGCCTCGCGTTGTTTGCCTTCAGCCCTCCTTCTGGCAAATTTGGAGTTGAAGCCCAATTCAGAGAAGGTCAGTATCTACATCTCAGATAGGAAAGATTTCTATCATCAGTTCAAGGTGAGCAGAGAGCGGGCATCATCAAATGCACTGTGGCCCTTGATCCACAGGAGTGACTTGGAGGAGACTCTTGCGTTTTCGGTTTGGTGTGAAAGAAATTTGAAGAAGTCCTCCTATGACCGACTGAAGCATGGCGACCTTTTTGAGAAGGGTGGTTTGGGCTTTCAAAAGAAGAAGTCAAAAGTGCCAGATTGGTTCCAGGGCTGTTTCGCTAGCATTCCTCAGGGCGACCACCTTGGTGTTGAGTTTGCCGTGGATGCCCACCGGAATCTTTTGAAAGCATATGGACTTCTTTGCGATGACCAGGAGCTGAGGTCCGATAGGTTGTTTCGTGGAAAGAAAGTTGCCTCAGGCTTGGTGATCGATGACTTTTACACAGTGTCCGTGCAGAACGTGAGTGACAGCCATGTGACCTCTGCCTCCCATGCCCAATTTCTCACAGCGGCAAAAGCTTACGCGGATCAGGCGATTTTAGGCTCTGAGGAGAAGGATGTCATTGGGGCCGACAAGGCAAAGGTTACAGGGGCTGAATTAGACACGTCCGCTGCCTTGAGAGAGCTCAACATGGCCACCTTGGCATCACCTGCAGCAAAGCGTTTGGCCTTAGCTTACGTTTCTTTGGAGCTGGCAAAATTGCGTTGGACCACAGACCAGCTGCATCTTTGTCTGATTGGTGGATGGGTCCATTCTCTGCTTTTCCGCCGGCCCATGATGTCAATTTTGGACTCCAGTTTTGGGTTTGTCTCGAATGATGAAGTGCGAGGAGATGGCCCCAAGTTGGTGCCCCTGACACGAGCGGTAGCCCAAGAGTTGGTGCTTTTGGCTGTGCTGTGTCCCTTCATGGCCACTGACCTGACAGCCCAGATGTCATCCACTGTTTTTGCGACGGACTCTTCGGACAAGAAGGGGGCCATCGTTGCTGCGGAAGTGAATGAAGAGGTTGCCCGCGCCCTCTGGAGATCAGGTAGGAAGAAAGGTGGTTACATCAGGCTGCTGAACCGATCACAAGCCTTGTTGAAGAAGTTGGACCCTGATTTTGAGGAGCCTTCTTTGCCTGGCGAAGAAGGCAAGCAGTCGGTCGAGAGGCCTTTGGCTTTGCGTTTTCATTTCTTGGAGATTTGCGGTGGAGCTGGAAAGGTTGCAGCTGCAGTTTCAAGACATGGTTGGAATGTGGGGCCTGTCATTGATCTGGATAGATCGGCCTTTTATGACTTGCGCTCCCTACGAGTGATCAGCTGGTTGATCCATTTGCTTGAGAGAGGCCTGCTTGATGCTTTCATGGTTGAACCTCATGCACAACGTTTTCACCAGCGCAGCATCCAGCGTCAAGGGGTTATGATGTTCCTCGAGGTTACGACCCTACTGATCCTCATACCCTGACAGGTACCACCCTGGCATTGAGATCTCTTACACTGCTGGATGTGGCAAGTGACATGGGCTGTCCGGGTTTGCTGGAGCAACCCCGGCGCACCAAGATGCGCCGTCTTGAAGAGTGGCAGAGACTTGTGGAGTTAGGCAAGGCTGAGGAGGTTTGGACTGCAAGTTGTATGTTTGGCAGCATTCACAACAAAGAGTTCATTTTCCTATTTTGCCATTTAGCTGCCCAAAGTCTGCACCGAAGATGTGACCGCAGCCACGTGCATGTGAAGGTTCAGGGCCAATTCACCAAGACTTCAGCCGTCTATACAGATGACCTAGCAGAAGCCCTCGCCGCTGTTTTCAGCCGAGCAATTGCCAAGAAGTTGCGGAAAGAAACGTTTTTGGAACCAGAGGTCCGAGGTTTAGAAAGTCCTTTATGCAATGATGTGCTTGTCAGTGCGCAGTGGAAGACTGTCTCTGTTTGGACTTGGAGGAGGCCACTTCATATCAACATTTTGGAAAGCCGTGTGGTGTTATCCTTGTTGAAGAAACTTGCCTTGACCTCCCCGGGTATCCGTCAGGTTGTTGCCTTGGACTCGAATGTTGGACTTTCTGCGCTTGCCAAAGGCCGCTCCCCCTCTTATGGACTTCGCCCTTGCGTCAGGAAAACAGGGGCCACGGTGATTGCAGGCCGCCTGTACCCTGCATATCAGTTTGCTCCAACACGTTTGAACCCTGCGGACCATCCAACTAGGGACAACGATTCGCCATCCCCTTTGCTGAGTTTCCTGTCCTCTTCGCCGTGTCTTGAGGAACTATTGGATTTTGCCGAGATTTCCATGCTTTCAAGACCGGCTGCAAACTGGGTTCGACTTGTGGTCTTGTTGAGAGGGGCATCCTTTCCTTGGTTTCGTCCCGATGAGTGTTGGAGGTTTGGTGAATATGCCTTCAAGCACTATCCTTTCCAAAAGGCCGTGGCCTCCCGACCTAGCCATTTTCGCTCCGGGGGTTTCGATTCCACTTTGGGTTTCCCTGGCGAAGGACCTTCTTGGATTTTGGCTCATGGTCTTTCCTTTTTGGATTTTGCCGGATTCTGCCGATGGATTTCTCTCTCCTGCGTGCGGTGGGCAGGTTGGTGCGTGCTCCTATGTTGTGGTTCCTGTTTGGTGTGCGTGCGTCGGAGGTTTTGGATTTTCGTTGGACTTTCCCTTTGCTTGTCGGTCGGTTCGTGTGTCAGCCATGGCCCGGTGCTTGCATTAAGGAACCCTGGCAATAAGAGACGGGCTGGCCTTAGGTCTTCCGCCGCTTTGCCAAAAGGAAGACCGGCCCTGGGAAAGACTCAGCTCCAACGAGACCTTTTTCTGGATGAGTCCAACAGATGGCTTAGGGATGATGGTCCCTCACTGGATTCATTGATTGGGACTGCAGCAATAGATACTGAGCTTTTGAACTTTCATTTTGAAAGCTGTGGCAAGTCATTTTTCTTGCCAGAGAAGCCCTGCGATCACTATGCAGAAACAATCAATGGAGTAGGGAGCCGTCGACCTTGCGTGAGCAGGCTACTACAGCAGGCGCTTCTGGGCTTGGTTGCAACTGCGTTTTACAGGGGTGGGATGAAAGAGATCGACAAGCCAAAGACCAAGTATCGTGCGGCTCGACACCAAGTGACAAAAATGGATCAGCCTCAATCGATGTCAGTGCTGGATGTAGTTTTTGGTTTAGGTTTGGAAAGTCTCAGAACAGGAAGGGTTTCGTGGCTCATCGCCGTGACAGATAACCCTGATCTGACGAGGCGCTGGGGAGGATGGATCACCAACAAGGTGTTTGGGACCTATGTGAAAGATCTCTGCCGTACAGTTCATTTCCAGTCAGCCTCAAGCATCGAAACGTCAGATCACAAACGGAGCTCCTTTTCCATGATGTCGGAACATGTACAGTGCCTGAATAGAATGCAATTCCATCAAGTGTTTGGCCAAGTTTCTCCCAGGAAGCAGCGGACAAGCTTGTATCAAATGGGTGAGTGTGTGGTTGCCTTTTGAAGATGATGGGTGTTTTCAGACATTTTGGTCAAATGACCGTGTCGAGACTCCTGCAGAATGTGGAGAAATGAGTGAGGCATTGAATTGTTGACTTTCAACAATGACTTGCCGTTACCATTCTCAAGCTTCCCCAAAACCCACGCCACCCTGCTGCTTCCTGGGTGTTTTCAGACATTTTGGTCAAATGACCGTGTCGAGACTCCTGCAGAATGTGGAGAAATGAGTGAGGCATTGAATTGTTATATATATATATATACATATATATATATATATATACGTACATACATACATACATACATACATACATACATACACACATACACACACACATACATACACACACATATATATATATAAACAAACATTTTTTTAGTGTTTCTGTTCAAGTTGGGGATATCATAGTTTTGCTGCAGATTTTCCCTTAAACCAAACCTGGCTGTTCTTAGCCTCGTTTTGTCGAGGCTATGACGTGGCTGGTGACTTCGACTACAAGTGCCTTGGACGTTCAACAAGGGTCCGGAGCTGGGGTCAAGTTCTGGCTACGTCCAGGATGGTTTTATTAATAGTAATAGTAACAATGGTAGCAATAACACTAGACATGATAATTAGATCAATAATAACAATGATACAATTCTACATACTGTATTAGCAATGATAGTAACCCTAGTAAGATTGTGTAACTACGATGTGAATAAAGATCATAAAAATATAAATAGTATCAATGATAATCATTGAAAATTGACATGGTAAGACATCAATGTTGACAGAGGGCCCCATACCTTGGTACCTTGGGGCCGGGGGATCCAACAAGCCGTAACAATCCATGGGCCTTCGGGGATGATTTTTTTACCCCAAACTTGAAGCCTCAATTAACTGTATTCAATACTGTATTGAATTTTAAGTTTTGGATTATAGTTTTATGATGAATGAAAATCCACTTTCTAAAAGTTCGATCATGATTTCCTCCATTTTTTACACACACACAAACACAACTTTGTGCCCAAAAAGTTTCAGTTCCTGGATTTGAGGCTGTTTGGCTTTGAGCTCAAGGAGAGTTATCAGATGGACCAGCGCTGCCGAATGCTCTGTGAGGGCCACCATGAGGTCTTGCACAACTGCAATGAGTGGAGGACGGGGCAGAGGCCAGGCTCCAATGGATGGCCCCAGTGGTTGTGGTTAACCACAGTTGTTATATGTTTTTTGTTTTTTCTTCTTCTTATCCGGTGTTTTCTCTCTATTTTTGTTGACATTTTCCCCCAACTTTGGAGAAACGCCGGATTTTTGGCGGTCAGTGCGCAGGACTCGAAGTGAGCCCTCAAGGCCCTGGGGCCTCTATATGGGCCTTTCAGGTCCGAAAGGGGGAGCGAGTTTGCTGATTCCAAGTGAGAAGAAGAGCACGTCCATCCGAAATTGCGCTGGTTGGTGGTTTCAAATCTTTGTATATTATAGATTATTATAGCATGATTGTACTTAAAACACAATTTGGGGGACCTCAATGGGTTTGGGACAACTGAGTCTGAGGGGCAGCCTACAAGAATCAAACATGGCTTGCGCAAAATCCATTGCCAGCATGTCATGTATACAGTATATATATATACACACATATACATATATATATACATACGTATATATATATACACGTATATATATATATATATCATGCCGCTGTTGAAGTTGAAAGGCTTTCATTGCAATGTATGCCATGCTGAATGGCCTAGGGCCTAGGGTTCATATATCATGATATACCCACCATTGAAACAGGTGTTCATGGATTAAACCCCTGAAACCAGCGTGGATCTCACTCGTGGCGGTTCAATCAGTTCAATCCTCACGTTTCGTGGCTAAAACCCATCTGGGATAGGTCCTCCCAAAATCGCCAGTGAAAAATCTCGGGAATTTCATGTGAACTTTGTGAAGCATCAGAGTTTGTACATCCGTGGTCTCGACAAGCTATGCTACATGTGGTTACAGCGAGCATTTCCTTGGCAGCTCCCGTGGAACCTTGGAGTTTGAGCGCAGTGGAGAGATCGAGACCCAGTAGCATTCTGGGCAAGGCGCCGTGGGAGTCATGGGGGTTTGATGCTTGGGATTTTTCCATGGATTTTTCCATTTTTTCGATAGATTCCGATTGTCTGATGCGAAACAAGATTCACCAAGATTTGGTGATGGGGGATGCGACTTTCCATAGTTTCGAATGTGTTGACCTCGCCAAAGTTAGGGATTTCCCTTTGCCCAAAAATACCTTACAGAACCAGGTACTTTTGAATCTGTATAATTTGAAGTCACCTTGCCATGGTCCTAATGTAAGCTGTGCAAATGTTCCAAATACTTTCCATCTTTTCATTGGATTTATACAATCAGAAGTGTTTCTTTTTTGATTTCCCTTTCCCAGAATTTCCTTACAGAACCAGGTACGCTAGACCTATCTTATTTGAAGCCAACTTACCATCCTGATGCAATCCGCTCAAGCATGCCAAATACTTTTATTGTTTCCCAACATTTCCAAAATCCAAGACCTATCGTCAAAGTATGTTTACATGTGTTCAGTTCTAAGGGCATTGTTTTTTGTTGCTGAGTATGCGTTGTCAAATAAATCTAAGTATATGGAACTTTCAAAACTACCAGATGGTTCTACGTAGACGGGTTTTAAATTTTGGAAAACCATGATTACTGTATAGTTACGTTTTTAATATATGGAAAACCCATGGGTTTTACATTTTGTGACCAACATAGCCAAGACTTTCCTTTGTTGCCCAAGTTGAGGTCGCACAGGCTCTCCACTTCACGGGCCCAGTGAAGGTCGAAGACACAGGTGACCGGATGGGTTCCATGATGGAACTTGATGGCACATCTCCATGCGCCGGTGAGACCGGTGAGAAATGATCAACACTTAGCAACAAGATTTTAACACTACACGAATCATCCAAATCATGAAACAATCATCAAGCAGAATTTTTTGAGAATTCCAGCATCATCGGAAAACATTTTGTATCCAGGATGAGATTTTTTCATTTTCTGTCCATCCACCAATCATTCCTGATCCCATATTTCATGAAACAATCATCCACTATTAACTGCTATTGACCAGCCATTGAAATTCAGATGATGATTATCCCATTGAAATAGTGAGTTTTCCCATCATCATGAAATAATCCCCAGTTTCAGGCGATTCCAGTGGTCTCTTGGCCTGCGACTTCGCGGTGCAGCAGCTCCGCGCCGGTGCATGTCCTACGGCTTTCGCGTCCGAGGGCCCAGGGGGATCCAGGGGGCCCAGCACCTGGCGATGGCTGGGGAAAATGATGGCTTTTTCCATGGATTTTTCATGGTGATTTTAAGCAACCATACTTGGGGGTTTGATGTTATTGTTGGATTTCTAACTTATCACGAAAGCTAGCTTCTGCTAGTTGAAGTCCCTCTTGCTTTCGCAAGGTATAGGGGGGGGGTCTGGAATCTCCAATCGCATGAAACTTCATACTCAACTACCCCCCCTCCCCCTGGCTGGTTCACAAGCAGTTTGGCCGTGGCTCAACCCACCCGAAAAAACACCGTGGGCATGTTGCCACCGGCAGCAAAATCGGCAGCATCAATTCGCATCCTCAGCATCATTGTGTTTTCATGCCAAGCTCCCTGCCAAGCTAGCTTTCATCCCTTACCCCTGGGCCTCAAGTAATATAACTACAAGAGTAATCAAAAGTAATGAAATATACCCTCTGGTAATTTAACGTAGCTATTGAAAATGACCATTAATAGTGGATTTTCCCATTAAAAATGGTGGATCTTTCCATAGCTATGTTAGTCATTACCAGAGGGTAATTATCAATACAACTACGCAATATACTATTATTACATATAGTGATATTATCACCACATATCACCTGTTGTTTGGTAGGAATCCTTCGGTGCTCGCCAAGGAGCTCGGCGAGTTTCATCGCAAGCCCCTGGCAGCTGGCCCTGCACGTGAGAGAAGGCGAGACATGTGGATTTTGAAGGGCCCAAAGTGTTGGAAAGAATAACTGAGTTGACTGGATCATGGAGAATTTGGTGATGTTTGTTAGTGACAATCGAAAAAACATCGACCATGAATACCTGGATCTTGGTGCACTTGGATCTTGGGGAAGTCTAAATGTTTGGTCAAATTGGTGATATGGCTATGGATCAATACCTATTAATACCATTTTTAGGGTGATGAACATCCATTTACCAGCTATTTTGAGGTTCACCAGGGGTACAAGGTTTTGACCCATCCCCATATGTTTGATGTTTGTTGCTTCAAATCTGCGCCCTCCGAGTCTCAGAGGCATGGCATCGCGTTCGGGGCGCACGCGATGCTTCGACCAAAGTGGTGATGGTTTCATTCAAGGAGAAGGTGGCGATGGCAGGGCAGATGAAGGTCCCCATTTATGGGGGGTTCCATAAATGGGGCCAAAGATGGATGGTCTTTTTCAAGGGAAGATCCTATTAAAAATTATTAAAATGGATGATTTAGGAATACCCCCATTTTAGGAAACCTTTAAATAGAGAGAAACGTCATGATATGGGTCTCTCTGAAAATGGGAGATTTATTCCCTGAAAATGGCATAATTCTTATGGGCACAAATTAGAGTATGATTAAACATCAATTTTTCGGGTATCCTATTTTCAGTGAAACCTATCATTTCCATAATTCATTCTGCCGATTCCCTAACATGTTGATGATCATTTGCTTTTCTAGATTTCTTTCATCTGTTTTTGGCAACGGACTTCTCCCGGAAACGCCTTCCTTTGAGGGGTGACCTCCATTCGACCAGAAATTTAGAGCTGATGTTTTGACTTGCCCAAGATTCTGCGTTTCTGTGTTGTGACCCGGGGGATTCTCCAAGCAAGTTGCCACTCTTTCAGTGGGGATAGAAGGAGCAAGTTGGAGAATTGTTGTTCCACAACATCTGCAACCGCTGCAACAGCCATAGTTTTTGTTCCACCTGGCAGGTGCTGTGGTGTTGATGTTGCAGCCATCCACCAAAGCTTCGGACGCACGCGGCTGGCACGTGGTCCCTCGACACTGAAATTGATGATGATCAAAAGGAGACCTTGCAGATAGCTATGCCTTTATGATGTAAGTAAAGCAATAGGATCCACCATCCCCAACTTTACCACAAATGGGTGGTAAAAACCATGAAACCACGGGTGGTTTATGGCATTGCTCTACTAATATTCCCACAGCAATTGCGGATCCTTCATCCTGGTCCCGACCTTGAGGTTGGAACTGCAAATCACAGCAAAGGCGGGAAAAACCTGGGCTGCATCCCCACCCCTGCTCTCGCTGGGTCCCCTTCTATCAGGTGAAGATGCGAATCTAAGGGCGCCCTCAGCAGCAGCCATGCAAGAAGTTCTGCTGAAGGTAGGGTGACAGTTTTTTTTTTTCTGAAGGACACAACGGATTTGTTATGGGATTTAGATGGATTTAGTAGGATATGGGATATAATATAACTTGCACAACCAACATCAACCAACAATCTCTTATTTGGGTTTGTCTGAAAGCGGTTACTGTAGTATCTCCAAACATGGCATTTTGTATAGTAGGAACGATGATGAGTGTATTTTGGGGTACCCCATGGTACCAGAGACACCCATGGATCCCCAATCCCCAGGCCTCACGGTACGCCCAGACTTGTCAACTTGCCAAGGAATAGGGACCCAGCGTACTGCATGGCACCAAAAAAAAGCGTTTTCTTGGCCACTTGGCCACCAAAAGCGGTGATCCTGCCATTTTCATCCATTTTCTGGTTTGGAACTCAATTTTGGAGTGTTGGTACTGGTAGGTTACAAGTTACAAGACCATTTTGGGTAGGCCTCGCGTGATGCGCAGCTGTCCTTCCCGGTGCTGGATGCGGCCGAGACGAGCTGCTGTGGGTTGCCGTGCTCGGGCTGAAGGGAGGCCAGAGATCACATGTCATCCATGTCTTTCAGGAACCAAACATGGAACCAACGCACATGACATGTTTTTTTGAACAGAACACGTGTGTGGAATATGGAAAGTTGGTCAAAGTTATGAATGAATAAAAGGGTAGATTAAAAATGATACAAACCCTGTTAAGTTGTTGAAGTTTCTAGGTATATACTCAATTTATGGCCATTCAATAATAGGGAACATGATGATAAACAATGGGAGTCAACGGGGTTCCAAGTTTCCAGACAACCCAAATCGTAAGCATACTTAGAGGGATCCTGCCAACCCAGAAAAGATGCTTGCCACATGCGAGGCGTTGAATTTTATGGGCTGCCGGTTCTTTGGATTGGAAACTCTCATCCAATATATGATCTATGCACTGGTACACATCCATGTTGCTGGTGATCATGGCTGTACATTGTCTGATTTATCTGGGAAATCATAGAGCTTGGAGCCATCCCCCAATATCTTCATGTGCTCTGCGTGACAAACATCTGCACCACCCCAACCTGAAAAACCATATCGAAAGCCATCTACAGGGTATCTACCCTCCAGAAAACTCAGACATGGAAAATCTACCACAAAAGTCAATTACGCCATGATTTTCCCAACCTTTTTTCAATGCTTCTTGGAGGTGTATATAAACGCCACCAAGGGAGATACCGCCATTTGGCCAAGATGGGATCTTCCCCTTCCGTCGCCGAGCCGTCGCCGAGGACTGACGCCTTGGAGCTGCAGGTCTTGGAGAAAGCCGTGCAGCACAAGGTGATGCCCGAAGCCTGTCCTGTGATCACCTCTTGCTCCAAGGTAGGCCCGGTGATATCCGGTGGGCCCCATCCCAGTGACCAAAATGTGGGGATCGAAAGCTGGACCGTTGGGATGGGTTTTTAGCTGGTGCCAGTAGTTGAGGAGTTAAGAAAGTCCAATATTTCACATCTTATCACCCACCTACATAGTAAACCTATGAGATAAATGAGTTCGGGGACCTACATGGAGGTGGGTCAAACCCTATTGTTACCAGATTGGGCATAAACAGAACTAGCAGCTTTGATGTGAACAGGCTACCAGGGTAGCACCTTTGGGATGATTTTCCTGCCTCATTAGGCCTGCTGGGGCCACCTGGGAGTTGTGAGTGGCTTGTTGGGCATGGCCAGATCTTTGTTGCTGATTGCCCCTTGGCCGCAAAAAAAATCTGTCCACCTAGGGATCGGGAAAAAACCACTTAATTTGGGTTGGTGATTGTTGTGTTGGCAGTGATGTACTTTATGAATCTTCATGATTTTTCCATAGAAAAAACTGCTGATTCTGCTGATATATTTTCATACCCCAAACCGCCCGGAAATAGAAGATGTGCTGATTGAAATCACTGAAAAATCTGTAAATTGATGGCCATCCCACAGTTGAAATCTGGATTCTGGCTGATTTCTTTGAATCCACCGCAAGGTCATAAACATCCCAAACCAAGCCATGCATGGTTAGCTCCAAGCTTGCGTGTGAGTCCAAGCGCCATCAACTCACAAGTCAATACAAGTCATGTATTCTTTCACTCAAGTCTCCAAAAAGTTTCCCCAAACACATCATCTGCAGGCTTTTGAACACCGTATTTTCCATTATTTTCACAGGTTTTTTCGGCCTTGTGGATCCAGAAAGTTTCGGTTTTCGATTTTTCCACGAAGACACCAAGGGGAAGCAGCTCTTTGGACCTCAGCTCCACCTGCATCAGCTGCTGCCAGTGGAATCAGACCCTTCCAGGCGCGGAAGGGAACGGGGCGGGTCCCAGGATCTGTCGTTGGGTTTCGTTGATCTTTCGGAGTCTTAGTAGATTCTATACTTAGAAACACTTAGTAGATACTTAGTAGATGTTTTCTCATTAAACTAATTTATACGTTTGGCTGTTTGTTGAAGTTGTGTTTCTGGAGATAGCTTGAGATGGTTTTTTCAGGTGAGTCCTTATGGAAATTTAAGCGGGAAAGATCCGGGATCTATTGATGGTTCTTTTGGACTTGATCAACCGGCAAGCCTGGGTAAAACATGGTAAAACTCTTCAGAATTGCCATATTTTCAGCAACGCCAGGCTGTATCATGTCACCGAACAGCCGAACAGCAGGATCATACCACAAGGTCGCAGGCAGGGCCGTTGCGGCCCCATTTCAGAGCGCAACGGCACCCCGCCAGGCTGCATTTCTGTACGGAGGCCACACAAGGCTTCGGCCACACGCAGCTGCTGAGCGTGGCATCCTTCGGGGCAGGTGAGGGGAACTGCTGACGTGGCGATGGGGGGAAAAACCGCTGGGGATCACTGGTTGATGGGGATTCAGCTGATTCAATTGATTTACCTAGCAAAATATAGCAACATTATATATAAAATTGATGGGTTTCAAGAGAGAATAGGGAGAATAAAGGTGCGACTGCTAAGCAATAAGTGGCATCCGTGGCCTATGGTATGGCCATAGTCAGTCTTGAGTCTTAAGATATAGCCCACAATCGAAAAGGATGGAAAAGGTACATGGCCAACAAAAACATGGGGGCACACATTAGAATCAGTAGTATGGGTGTGTCTGAAAATGGGGTTTTTCTCGGTATATCCCCAAATACGGCAGCATCAGACTTCCACTTTGGGAAGATGATGAGAAATCACTGGAGGGGCGCCATGAGGCACCCGATTTTCAGACGAAGCCATAGAGCTGGTGGTTCCCGAGGCAGCCATGGCCAGCAATTGATCTCGGTGAAGTACCACGAGAAGGCCACCTGGTGGTGAAAAGCCATGGAACTCTTGGTTTCTCATACCACTTGTTCCCTACTTAAAATATCTTCAAGTATCTTCAAAGGACTCTATTGATCTCATCCAAAGTAATGTGTTTTGTAGGGGATTTCTTGTGGGAAAACTCCCATCCCTTCCATTCCCCCGGTGCTGCAGGTGAAGCCTGTGAGGTTGTCCTGGTATCCCTGCGAGACCAAGAAGAAGGACATCCGCAGGGGCGCCGCTGAGCGGAGCTATTTTCGGTACCTGAAAATAGGCAATTTAAACATCAACAACGGGGATTTCATGGGATTTTCATGGGATTTTTAACCATCAACAATCAAACGAGTCCATTTTGAGTTTGTGGGGAGGATCTCATGGGGATTTCATGGGGATACATGGGAAAAAACGAAAAACCACGATACGGGGGGTTTTGTAATTGGATTCACCACAGGATTTTGATGGTGTTGGTGTGTTGGTGTTTGACGGATGCATCAGGATCTAGCAGACAGGATTCTGATTCGCATAACCTGTTGTGGAAAGTCCTTCAAGCAGTATGAACAGCTTTCCAAGGAGGGGTCTTGACATTTCACACACTTGAACTTTCGTCGCATTCAGCTTGCAAAAATAACACTTGCCTTTGGTCCTTTGGTTGCCAAATTGACGGCCCATTTCCAACCCATCATCGCTGGCTGCCAGTGGATGCCTATGCAAAACAGAAGTATGGATTCACAATTGGAGAGAGAACATGGGTATTTTCATCGTAGATCGACAATACAGTACAGGTAAGGATTTCGACAGTAAATTAACGAGCGACCATTTGTGAGTGACTCTAACCATACAAATCCCCCCAAGACCGGGACTTTGGATAGACTTTGGCCATAAAGCCATAAATCTCTCAACAAAAAATGGTTCGTTTTTCTACCATGGATGGCTTCCCCTCGCTGGCTTTCCCCGCAGGATGTGTTGAAGGCGATCGTGGGATACGAAGTGGTGGGAACGATGTCCGCTTGGGACCGTGGTCTTCCCATGATGCCCCATCCGGACCGGAAGAGCTGGATTTGGCACCAATGAATGGGAGAAAACTGGATGGGGACATGATGGGGACATGAGATGTAGCCGTGTAGCCATTATGATTGGCGATTTATCATGATTTATCTCCATTCTTGGTGATTCATGGGTGATTTGTTGGGGATAAACATCCCCAGAGTTTTGATGAATGGTTGAATCACCGTTTATCTGTGGGGAACCAATGATTTCCCCTACATTTTCTGAGGAAATCCACCAGAACTGGGGAATCTATAGGGACCCCTAAGCCAAGGTGTAGAGGTTGGGGGCGTTGGAGGCTGCACCATAAACCTTTCCAGTTGGGGATGGTTTACACCACAAAAGAGGAACCCCCAGGCATTCAGGTTACACTATAGATGGTATATAGTTCTGGTTAAAAGCTTAGATACCATCTTCAGACAAGATCGTTGATAGGGCGATGCACATGTGTCCGAACATGCGGTCTGGTCGTAAAAAAACCAAACAGATTTCAGGCTGATAAAAGCCACTCTGACTGTTGGCAGAGTTTCTTTGGTTGACTATTTTCTTGAAATAGTCCCATCCCCCCAAATATTAAACACCTCCTAAAAATGGTCGAAAATTATATATGTATAAATCCCCTACTAGACCATGGTTTCTAGGGGGGTGTTATATAAGGGGGCAGGGATTACTAATCATGGATACATTGCGCTGTAAGTCACGCCTGGTCCCCCCGTCGGAACCACATTTGAGGTGAGAAATTTTCGTTGCAAATCTCAAAATCTGTTGCTATGGATTATTTCCAGCCTCAGAAATATTCAAACATGTCCTTGTTTGGTTGGAACCTTGCAATTTTGAAGAGCAGACTGTCCTATTGAATATACAATTTCTGAATATTTCTTGTTGTTCTTTATCATCCGTTGTTTAAGTTTAGTGGGAACCTTGCAAATTTGAAGAGCTTAATAGACAACGTGAGACTTTGAACCCTTCTGGGTGGAACCTCCATCTTGTTTTTCTGCTGACAACTTTTTGTTTCCATGACACCATGAAATAATATTCAAAGGGTCAACAACAACGCCAATATAAGTTCTATTTCCAATAGAACTTCGTCATCATCATCGTCATCATTCTTATGGTTATTATTATTATTGTTATTGTTATTGAGATATTACATTGTTATTAGTTATTATCATCATGTACTACTGTTTTTGTTTTTTCCCTTCTTTTTCCATCTTTTTCTCATGGTTCACCTTTCCCACCCCAGGACGACCCCACGAGCTTCTCATGCTTGCTGACCATCCGGCTCAGTGGTCCGATGCCTTAGCCGATTTTATCGGGAAAACTGGGGAAAACCAATGGTGATTCAATGGATTCAATGGTGATTTCATGGTGACTTAATGGTGATTTAATGGTGATTCAATGGTGATTCAATCTAAATGCAGACTCTCCATGTAGGGGCGGTGACTCAAATCTGGAGCTTTCTGGTGTCGTCTCTGCAACCAGGTTGCGAAAAGTTCCAGATCTGGATTGATGGCGACCCGGGGCGAGCTGGAAGCTCAGGACGGCCATTTGAAGATGGGAAACATCATGAACTGTCCATAAAATATAGATTGATTATAGATATCAATAACCATTAACTATCATAATGGTTTGTTAATGGTTTATTCTATCCCAATTATAGAATATTATGATAATAGATAGTTATCCCTATCCATCAATAATAGATGGTTTATCCCAATTATAGAATATTAACTATCATGAATTATCATGAACTATCATAGACAACTATCCCAATTATAGAATAAACCATTAACAAACCATTGATTGACTCCGGATTTGGGGAGGTGCTCTACCCTGTGGAGAGCCAGACTTCGGAGTCCAAAGTCTTGGGACCCGGAGAACAGGTGGACAGGCGAAAGGGGGATGGAGGCCACGTTTTTTTTTTGGGCAAGTGGGAGTCGAACTTTGGGAAACCCATGTAATTGTTGCCGGATATATCATGATATATCACTTTTCCATATTTTTCCGATCTTTTCCTGATTGGCTACAAATTTAAGTGATGATGGTTGATTTGTGATGATGCTTGGCAGATTTGGTCGTTGGTTTCTGAGGGTCCTATCATAAATCCATTTGCTCAAAAAGATCTTCCCAGAAGTCCGAATCCGAACCACAAAAAATGAAGCCAGTCGGAAAGCCCGCTCTGGCAATTAGCTCCATGGAAAGATCTGGAAAGATCTGGAAAGTCCCCCATTGAAAATGAATGTTTTTCAATGTTTTTCCCATAGAATTCCCATGGCTCGATGATTTCCTGACATGTTTTTTTGGGACACCGGAGAGTATGTCTCATTAAACACCCCATGATATCAATGATATCCCATCAGAATATATTCGAATCTCCATCAAATCCAACTAAACCCCAGTTAAATCCCATGAAATATATGAAATCCAGTGAAATGCCATGGGAATCCCATTGAAAACCACCCGGATAGCCCTTTATAGGGCTCGGTGCTGGACTCTGCGTGACGCTCCTGGACATCGCTATGAGATCAGGTGGGGACCAAAGGAGTTCCATGGGATGGGCCATTTCTGCATTTTTACAGCACAAGTTGCTATGCCCCAATGTCTTTCGGGATGGTTGCAACCCATTGTAACATCGCGCGCGTCCGGTATTTGATGCGCACCGGTTCGCACCGGTTCGCACCGGTTCGCACGGATTCTTTTCGCGCATACAGACATACACACATGCTTGCCTGTCTTTGTGTTCTTTTTTCGTCGGTGGACGTGACAAGCTACTTGACCAGCGTTGGCCAGATCCGATGACCCCTGAATAAAGAGGGTACGACGACACCACCACAGGTATTCCTGAACAATAACAGTTACTTCAGAACAGTGATACCTCTCTAAAGAACCATAAAAAGAAACATTATATTATCAAGACAATTTCTCTCAACAATCTGGATGATATATTTACCACATATTTCCTAGTTTCCATTTTTCGATTTTTTTTGAGTTTGCTGAAAGTGGCATGTTAGTTTCAACCTGCCAATTCCAAGTCGATTTTCCCAAGGACTATACGTATATAGGCTCACAGCAAGTGGTTGGCCTCTGTCACTAGGCCACACAGCCAGACATTCACTTTCAGCAAGCAAAGTCGCCTTTCCTTTTCAGCAAGCAAAGTCGCCTTTCCTTTTCAGCAAGCAAATTCAACCATGCAATTTCTAAACGTCTAGACACACCTTTCCTAGTCAACGCTTATTCATTTTCAGTGTGTGAAAGCCATGTCCGTCAATGCTTTCAAAGTGGCAGAGCTTTGGAGGAAGGTGTTCCAGTCATCAATCACTGTGTTCCAGCTGAACATGCGACCTGGCATGTCAGAACAGCCTCTAGGTGACTGGCAGTGTACATTCCCCAATTTCCAGCGAACCACATCAGACTTGGGCAGAGGGTCGTTGCCAGCTGTTGGATTTTTCACTGCTTCACTGCTGGATTTGACGTACCGTACGCACTTGAGTGCTGTGTTCTGGTCACTGTTCTGTAAACGCTGCGTAAACGTAGTTGCAGAATGACACTCATTCTTTTGCTCCCTGAGGATCCAGCTGCAGACTCAGTGCCTGGTCAGGACCCATCGCTAGGCCCCGTTCTGTTCTGAGCATCATTTCTTGACCACACTCTTGCAAGAAGCTGTTGGCTGTGTTTGTGGGTTTCGCATGTCAGGTGCCGCAGAAAGAGCAGCTCCTGAGGATGTGCGCTTGCTTGCATCGTTTGCTTCTTTGCAACATTTGGGGCCCACGTCGGCTCGCCTTGCCAGGCGATCCCACGCTCCCAAGGCAGTTTGGTTGCCAGCCAGTTGATGCATGAGGCACAGGCACAGGTGGGAAAGACAAATATCGATCGATTGATGAAAACTTTGCAAGAAGCAGCAGAAAAGAAGATTGGTACCTGGTATATTGTACATTCAAGTACGTTCATCCGTGCCGCGTGTTGCTCAAGCCTGATCTTGCGCCAGAGTACAGGAATAATGTTGTGAAGATGATCGTTCAGGCACCGCGCCTTAGTTTCATGCTACCAGACAGCCATGTGATGGTCCCTGGTGGACGCGCTCATAGCTTGACATTCCGCAATAAGAGTCTTCCTATCCGCTCCCGTAGCCTCTCTTTGTTTATCCGACGCATCTCTTTCCTTTTCCCTCTCAATGCCGGTACCCTCCCTTTCGGCGCCTGCGCGTAACGCGAGCATGGATGCCATTCGCCAGCAGGGCACGGCCCAGCAGGCAGTACAGGGCACGGCCCAGCGTCGGGGACAGGGCACGGCCCAGCCCCTCATCACGACACTCCGCAATAAGAGTCTTCCTATCCGCTCCCGTAGCCTCCCTTTGTTTATCCGACGCATCGCTTCCCTTTTCCCTCTCAATGCCGGTACCCTCCCTTTCGGCGCCTGCGCGTAACGCGAGCATGGATGCCATTCGCCAGCAGGGCACGGCCCAGCAGGCAGTACAGGGCACGGCCCAGCGTCGGGGACAGGGCACGGCCCAGCCCCTCATCACGAACTCAGTTGAGTCAATAATGGTGCACTGCTCCTGGCTCAGAAAGTTTAGGTCCTGGAATCTATAGACATGGTGACATGGTAGTCCATGAGTCAAAGCATGTTTCAATATCCATGAGCAGATACGCTACCACATGACAATATGAACTACGGATTTGTACTTTGGCGCCGCTCCTTAGTTGAACATTCTCTCCAGCTATGGCGTGCGCAGTGTGCACCCTAGAGTTTGAGGAGGGTGAGATCCGGCTGGACTTAGAATGTGGACACATGATGCATCAGGATTGTTGCCGCAGGTTGTGCAAGCTACGAAATTGGGAGGCTAGTGTCACATGTCCGACCTGCCGGTGCATTTGTGCCCCTGCGGTTCATGTGGCTACGCAGAAAGAAGTGCCAGCAACTCAGCCCTCTCAAGCGGGTCCAATGCATCTTGAAGCTGAAAGATCCCCAGGAACACAAGACCTTCCAAATTCCCAGCTGTCCACTCCGCATGACGAACACATTGTGCAAGACGCGGACTTTGGTTTCAGCCTGCCGGATGCCACCGTTGCAGCTGCCTTGAAATCGGATAGGGACCCGGCTGAAGCTTTTTGCGACAAGGTGATGTCCTGCGGAGACGATCCAGGAATTCGCCAAGGCAACCTTCCCACCGGATCTATTTGATGGCTTCAGCGATGAGGCGACCATTGAGAAGACCATGCACAATCTCCTGGACGCTATGGTGGCAGACAAGCGCACTCACCGCGAGCTGGCCATGCGCTATGATTTCTCCATCTCTGGTATGGCTCCACTCCCACACATTGAGGCCGCCAAAGCCTTGTGCTTAAAAAATGGGTTACACCCGGAAACCTTCCTCCTCCTCATCCACAGCAACTTGACGTGGCTCGAGCATCACACAAGCCGCTTGGGTTCTGACCCGCCTCCTCCTGGCTTGGACGTTTTGGCCACCATTCTTGAGCCTGAGCCTCAAGATGACCTTTCTGACATTCTAGACGAAAAGAGTGCCAGGAAGAAGGCCAGAAGAGCAAAACACACAAGCCAGCCGGAGCAGCAGCAAGCTGAGCAGGATTCTCATAGCTTCGAAGAAGCCGCAGCAGCGTTTGTCAAGTCCACCACTCACAACACGCTTGCGGAGTATCTTGCTGCAGCAGCCACGCATTTTGGGCGGCCTATGCTTGACAATGAGCAAAAGGTCGTGCGGGCCGCGGTTCTGGAACACATGGCAGAGCTGGAGCTGAAAAAACCCATGGATGCAGCCGCTCCACAGGTTCCGCTCGAACTCAACTTGAAGCCCTCGTGCCACACCATCGGCACAGATAAAGCAGTCATGGCTGCCGGTTCAGCCTCTGCCCGCAAATCCTTCATGAGTGAGTTGACCAATGCGCCTTGGCGATGCATGGGGGCCAGCTTTGATTTTTTTGACAATATGTTTCGGTCATGATGCTAGGGCAACCTTGCCAATCTTTTTTGCCAGTGTTTTGTTGTCCCTCTTTCCAGGATTTGGTGCTTCGGTCCAAATTCGCTCCCGACTGCATCAAGAAGAATGCCGTGTACATGGTGGAAGCGACCTTCAAAGGCGTCAGGGCATGTATCCTCAGCCACAAACGGGTGTCAGCGAGCACCGATGAAATCATCACAGCTTTGCCAACACCATGGGCTGATCCACAGCAATCAGCCAGCCACATACTCAGCAGATCAAAGCTTTGTACATGGACCCAGGGCGAGCGAGATGATGTGATGACTGGAGTCGGCATGATCCACTTGCGGCAGTACCGCTTCCAGCTCAAAATGCTTGGGCAATATGAGGCAGTGGAATGGTGCATGAAAATGACACCGCAAGCATTCTTCAAGCGCATCTCTTTCTCCATCATGCCTGATAGCAGCCCACAAGACGAAGATATCAATTGTAGTCTCTCCTTTGGATTGTGGCAGGCCACTCATGACTTCATGTTCCAAGGCCCTTATCATTGCCCTTCCTTTGTGTACTGCGATGGGGTCGCTCTTGGTCTTCTTCGAACAATCCTGAACGCCATCAAACTTTGGATAGAAAAGCGCAAGTCCGCGAAAAACAAGACTTGCAAATGGTTCCTGATGAAAATTCTGTTTGCCAAGAATGACATCCTCCGGTCTGCCTTGCCGACGATGCGCATGGTTCAAAGCCTTGCGAAACTCAACAAGCACGACTTGGCCGACTCCAAACGCGTGAAAATTTCTCCACATGAACTCATGTGCGGAGTCCGCTGTTGGCTCAGATCGCTCGAGCTCCACGCCGGCTACTACCGCTTTGTGCAAGGTGCAACATCAACGGCTGGCGCAGAGTATCCTGATCGCAATCGCAACCCTCTGGCGGAGGAATTTCAAAATGCACAACATCCGGAAGAGGACCGACCAGAAGCACCTAGCTCTTCGGACGCGTTGAAGAAGGCAATCCTGCAGCATTGCCGCGGATGCGCGGACTTCCTTCCTGCGTCCCAGATCAGCAACAAATTGCGCAGCAAGGGGCCATTCAGGAAATTGCAGAACTTCTCAGCACTGGTCACTGAGCAAGCCGGTGTTTTGACCAACCATGGATTGCTTCAAAAGAAGGACCGGAACAAGAAGGGCAACCACAAGGACCAATACAAGGGCTTGACGTGGCAGCAAGTTCAAGCCGATGACAATGCAAGAGCGGCCTGCGAGACATTGCGTCTGAACCGAGATTTCTTTGCTTGAGCGCTAAGCGTTCAGTTGCCTAGCATTCTGTAAAAAGCCTGGGATCCTAGTTTTCACACGTCGTAGCTTCCCAATGCCAATCCGACCAGGGGAGTGGATTGTTTCAGAGCGTGTGCTAATTAACCATATTCAAGCATAGATGCTTAGAGCAATTCGCAGCGTTGAGTGCTGTCAAAGCTGGCAAAATGTTGTTTGCTCCAGTTCTTGTGTTCTTGAATTCTTTGCCGCTGGCATCTCTCATCATCTCTCTTGCTTCAAACAGTGATTTTCAATCCCTTATTTTGTTTCATGTCACCTGC